ATAATAATTCGTATATGAAAAGTAGCCAAGTCACACCTTAGGCTTCAATATATTATCCTAACTTGGCACCCATTTAGATCTCACTTCTTTTGTCGTTGAAGTCAACAACCAAGGCATATATTATAGTATTGAACTTGGCTCTCATTTTACATATATGTTTTTGGTGGGATTAATTTTTCTAAAGGCACTGCAGCATTCGATTATGAATTCTAAATTACTTCATAATATCATATATAAGCGAAATAGGTCAATAATTACCTACTCATTATTGTTACGACAAAACACGTTGTCATAAATAATATATATTTTAAAAAATAACGTATAAAAGTGGAAATTATAGAATACCAATAACGATTTCCAGTCAAATTAATTAAGTAGAAAATGATTAATGTATATAATACTATAGTCTATAATATCATTGAGTACAGATATGAGATAGTAGGTACTATTATTATCTATATACTCAATGATAATTCCTATGTATTTTTCTTACAATTTATGAAAGATATATGAATTAATAAATGCATCTTAAAACCAATTATAACTATAATTAAAGATATGAGCTCGATAAATTTACAAAATAAGAGTAGATTTACTTATAATTAACCAAGTTTTAATTTACCAGATACATTTTTTTTACCATCGTTAAAATCAAGTAACCCCTAATATTAAACTGTTATACTAGCATAATAGTTTTTTATTTAGGTATACTAATGGAATATTTAGTATTTTAATCTATACTTAATGCATACTGTATGTTCAATATAACACAAATATGTTTAAGGCTGCTTACTAACAATTTTATATGTGGATAGTAAGATTAGGAAAATTAAAACACAGGCTTACACAATCAATAAGTTTTTTAAATAAAAGAGCTAAACATATTGTATAGTATATTTTTGTATGAACATTTAAAAAAAAATAACTACATCTAAACAATTTATTGTTTATATTGACCGGCAAATTTTAACCGATACATCTCTTAACTACTGAACTATCTTTAGGTAGGTACTAGGTATGTATAAAAATACTGAATGGATTTCAACTTACAGCTAAGTACTTACCTCCCTACTTATTGATGTGATTATATATAAATTAAGATGCTTTTAGTTTAAACGATCCGGTCGATCCGGATGTATATGAAACTATATTTAGATAGGTACCTATAGCATATTATAGAACTATTGTATATTTACATAAATATATTAGTTCAATGTAGTAGGTATATATATGAATGAATTATTTTCCCATTGTACTGTACATCACTAGTCGGTATTGTTTATTTAAATAGGTAAATAGGTAATGATTAAATTGGAATATCTATTTTGTTTTTGTTTTAGGTGGGTAGTTGCGATAAAAATAATCTCCATTACCTACTTATAGTTTCTCGTTACTTTTTCTATGATAAAGGTGTATTAAAATATAATTTCACCGATATTTTGTCAAAATGTACAAATTCAAAAACTGTCTGAACACAATATTTAATACATAATATTTTATTAATTAAATTGTATGCAGATAAATAATCTGCAATACATGTTACAGTTCTAACATCTTAATTTAGTGATATGAGATCAATAATATAAATTAATAATTATAATGCATGAGTTTATACATATAAATGGTGCATTTGTTCTCGTTAAAAACTTGGTTACCAATTTATCAGATTTTTGGAAAATATTGCTGTGTTGAATGGTCACTTTTTGTTTTTTTTTTTTCGGCGTAGTAAACTGTTTTCTGTTTATATTTATGTACATGAATTCTAAATCGAAAATCCATGCCCAAAAATGTTCTATTTAAATGTATACCTAAGTAGTGATACAAATTAAAATAAATAACTGAATATTAATGTTAGGTTCATCATATACTTAATAAATAATAATTAAGCGAAAGAAAACCGACATAACAATATGCGTAATAACTAATAACACAGTCTAATTATGGGACACTGTATAAAATATGAATAATTGGGTTAGAGTAGGTAATTAAAAAAATAATAACAAAACAAGAGAAACAAAAATTCTGTTTAAGACAGTATTTACATAGCAAATGTTACTACATCTCAGCTGATAGGAAGACAATTGTTCTGTTAATATTATAAAATATATTGTGGAGTAGATTAAACAGGTAGAACTATAAATACAGTAATAAACGTCATATATGACATAATATACATGATTGAAAATATCTGCACAACAATATTATATAAAATCTATTTTAAAATTTTAACGATGAATCTTTTAACAATAATTTCTTTGAAAATGTATGCATAAAAATATCCTATATTATTTTGTTTATGATTGTGGTTTATAATTTTTAAATGATTAATAAATAAAATGTTGTATAGTGTAAAATATAAAATGTGAAAATATGCACGTGAACAATATTAGAATGTAAGACAAACATTATTTGTATTTATATTTTATATATTTTAATATTTAAATTATATATATAATTAATTACAAGTTAATGGTATTTTCATTGTTAAACTTTTAAATGTAAATACAACTTTTAAATTTAAATTTAAACTTAAGTAATTTTAGTAAATTAAAATGTATATTCTTAGAACAAACTGTTATTATGGTATGTGAAAGTATGACTAAAATGTCTGGCATTTATAAGGTAAAACTGGTAGCTACTGGTAGCAACTGGAAACAGTGAAAACTAAAAAAAATTAAAGAACGTCGTTGTCTGGGTACCGGTTTATGAACTATCTATATCGTGGAAGTTTTGTAATGATCAATTTGTCAAGGTAAGTTTTATTGAATTTAATCATTTAAAAAAAAATTAAAAACCAAAAATATTTTTTTTGAACTTCTAGCGTAGAACTATATTGCGTAGGTACATTACATAATCAATATATACATAAAATAAGAAATAATGTTTACAATTTAAAAGTACGTGTTTACGTATTATACGTAGACGAATATATACGCTATACATGCTATAGCACGTTTCTCAGAAATGTAGTTAATTAAACGGACACTTAAAACGAATTGTGAAGTAAACAACTAAGAGAATACATTTGAATGATGTTGATTTTTAATATTGATTTTTTGATATAAACACTAATCAGTTAATAAGTTATAAGAACATTTTTTAATACAAACATTACCTATATATCACATTAATAAAATGTATGAATTAAGTAAATTTAAAAACATTATGCATTTATTTTGATTTAAACATATACATTAATAGATGGAATTACAATTTGCGAAGAATCATTAAGGGGCCTGCTCGCGATTTTTCAAATTTTCCGCAATTCTATAAAATTTGAAAATTAAATTTTATATTTTAGTTGCCACCTCAATTATAAGACTTTTCCACTAATCTACTACCCAATATCTATTTAGGGGGGGTTGATAGGGTGTATTATATCGGTCAAACACAGTTTACAGGAAAAACTCTCACACCTCGTAGATTGGTCCGATTTCCGTAATTTTTTTTTTGTTAGATAGAGGAATATTTTTTACAGGGCGCATTGGACTTCGATTTTTGATTACGTTGCTAAAAACAAAAAATAATACAAAAACTAAAAAGTTGTAAAAATTGATTAAATTCAAACTTGTAAATAGTGAAAATATGTCAGTCCAAGCGCCTGTAAAGTCTTCCTCTATTAACAAAAAAAAATAGGAATCAACGAGCTGAGAAAGCTGTTTGAGCAAAAAAACAGTCGCATGAGCCCCTTATTTGGTGTGTAAGTTTAAAGTAAACAGACAAAAATATTAAATTTAGAGGAATAATTAATTTATTAATTATATTATAAAAATATTACATAATTTATTAAAAAAAAAAACGTGGAATTTATTATAGTTGAAAAATTATAATTGAATATTTAAAAATAAATAAAATAGGTTACATTATTGTAAAAGATAGACAAGAAGTAGATATACTAATAGCTAAAATTTGATATAATACAACTATACACTCGCTAGTTGCAATATTAATTAAATCCCACTTTCCCGTATAACGTCTAAGATTTCAATAGAAATTCAAAAATAATATTTGGTCCTTCTTTTTGTAAAATAAAATTATGCTACATTTTATCATACATTTAGTAATTTAGATTTAAATGTCGTTTACCAATCGAGAAAACCAATATACCTATACATATAATACTTTGCATTCATGATATATGTTAACATTAAATTCAAATTGTTTACCTTTAGATATGCATTCAAGTCTCCGAAATTGATGCAACTGTAGGTAGTACACAACACAAACAATTTATGTAAATACGCACTCTCGTGTTTTTAATTATAAGTAAATATATACCAAACAAAAATATTATGTAAACACCTAAAAATGTATTACATCGCTTAACGTATAGCATAAACGCTGTGATTCGTACTAACAACAACAACAACAATGAATGGAGCCTAATACGATATTAACTACGTTTAAGCGAATGTACATGATTTGATTGCAGTTTTAGTACTGGTGTCGGTACTCGGTAGGTAGTTTATAACCGTTCGTACCTACGTCGTTGTTATACCTACGACTTGTTGTAGTCATCGTCACTGTGACGAAATAGTCGTGCAACTAGATAATGTTGGCAGTGTTGGTATACCGGACAGGAAATAAAACGAAACAACAATACAATCATAGGCTAATAATTGGTTTTTTTCGTGCTCAAAGGATTTTTTTTCTATTTACACTAGAAATGCATTATATACCTATAGTAAACGCTGCACATAACTATATTGTGTTATCTTTACAGAACTATTTGTGCGTGCACATTGAAAATGTAAACTATAACTATTAGGTACCTAGATACCTATATAACCTACTACTGTAAACGCTTGCAATTAGGCAGTCAACAATGAACACAGAGTTTGATCGATATTTGACCTATATATATATATATATATTATAATATTATATATCTGACATTTTTATCGAAAACCGCATTCGTCTTTATACTCTATTACAGCAGTGTTGTATCCGTTATAAGATACCTGGCTACATTTAACGCCGAAATAAAAAGCTGCAACACTATGAACGAAGTTACAAATAATAATATGGAAACTTTAAGGGAAGGATCTGCGGCGAAAGACAAACGAAACGAAACAGACGTTACATTAGAAGATAAAACTTTAGTTGAGGTAGGTGCATTTGCTATTCTATAATAATATATGTTATGCACTATACCAGATACCTACAACGAATTAATGATAAAAAAAAAGTCCTGGCTTACATTTAGATTTAATTTTCCTATGAAGTGCTGCAGATATACAGTGATTTTGTTTCAACATCAAACACTATCAATGTATATCATTATTTAAAAATTGAATTTATTTTAGAAGAATAAAATTGGCATTTGGTGTACTTACTACTTAAGACTACTGAGCTACCCTGCTAAATGTAGACTATACCACGATATAGATAGACACATATTATACTTTGCTCTTCTATACAATTTAAATAATATTATGTAATAACAATAAATAAATATTCGAAATATATTCAATAATCTTAAATCATCAATAATTTTAGAAAAGTATTTTTCTTCAAAAGTTTATACTTGTTAGTGGGTCTTGTCTACAAACTTTAGTGTGAAAAAAAAATTAAAATTGCATATTCAAAAGATTCCCAATAATTTTCAGTATAATAAGTCACGAGTTTTCTATATTTGAAGAATAATACTTACATTTTAAGGTATGATTTCATTTTGTAAATTATTATTTATCGGTAAATATATATCTTCAACAATTTACATAAAAAACATCCATTTGAACATGTGGTAAATTTATGTTAGAGCAACATTCAACGCAAAATAATTTTATCAAAATTAAATTATAAAATTAATGTTTACATTGCTTATTATTTTATGTTTAACAGTATAGCTATTGATAAGGTATCTGAATAATAATTAGAACTATAGTAATTAATAGAATATAATTCACTAATACGATCGTAAATTATACTCCGGTGGTTATAATACTAATACCAAAATGTGCATGTAATTTCACAAAATAATTTACCACATTGGCTTGCTGTGGTGCGTGTGTGTAATCAGTCACAAAACGTGTTCTGAGTGTACCCACCTGACGGTGTCACTAGTTCCCGTATAGGACTACCCGGGTTTTTAGTTACAAATCCTTGCCACACAAACGCGTATCCAAACCAACCGCACCCTCCCCCAAAGTAATATATTAATGACCTCAGTTGTCGAAGCCATAATTCAAAAAAAAAAATTACCACAGTACCAAAATCATTGTACGACTTTCATTAGGTACTTTAAAAAATAAATCTTTGTATAAATTAGGTACAAAGGTCACTGTAATATATAGGGTAAAGTCTTTAAAGGGAAAATCTATGAAATTTATTCACCCTTATGTAGTGGTTACGCAAAAAACAGGTACCTACCTACTATTTAAAGGTATAATTTCATATAAAATTGAACTTAAAATACCAATGGAAATAATTTAAGTTACTGTAAGAAGAACTTTTGAGGAACATTGAATGACATTTTCTAGCGTTATGTATTGAAAATTGAAATTAAAAATATTATTCATTTTTAACTACAAATTAATCTGATATTTTTTCTGATTGTTGTTTTTGTTTTGATCGAGGAATAAGACTTATTTTCTTCATGAAGCCCATTATGTATTTAAAAATTATTTGGTGTAGTAAGTGCTGCAAATTACTTGTATAATTATCGAAACGAGTTGAGAGAGTAAAGTTTATCATTTATGTTTACAGGTAATATTATAATAATTATAATGAATAGTTATTACTAATATTACGAGAAGTATAAACTAATACAATTTGAAATTATATCCATTACAGGTGACTCCTGGAGTTCGATAATAATTAACTAATTATTTAATTTGTTTACAAAACACATATTTTTCTCGTTTGGGTTGAAGAATGCATTATTGCATAGTTAAATTTACATTCACATTTGTTAGTAAAATTAATGCATTCGCATTCATAATAAATTATTCCTAATGTATAAATTAAATGTCGGTACTCATGAATGTCTTCATTGAAAAATAAATGCATTCATTCCAAACCCTGTAGATATCAATATATTTATATATTAGATAATTTCTAAAAGAATAGATTTGTTTTTAATAATATAAACACTTTAAATATTTTAACGTACCTACCTTTAATCAATATAATATGTAAAAAACCAAAACTTATTGAATATATTTTAATTTTATGATGAATAAAACGTGATGTAAATGTTAAATCTAATAATATTTAATCAAGTTCGTGATTACCTCTTATTAAACTGTTTTATACATAATAATATGAAGTCTAATTTAGACATTTAGTTTTTACGATCATATCTTTAACAATTAAGAAAATACAATAATTATATTTAACAACTTTTTCACTGAAATATATTAATCTGTTATAATGTATGTAGGTAGGTACTACATGGGTATAGGACACTATAGGTACATGGCCAGATACACAGTTCTCGTAGTGGGTCATTACTCATTAGCCGGCGTCCGGGAGTTAGTCGGGAGTTATTTGGATTTCGGAGTTATCGTTTCGGCCACATCGAAAAAGTTCGTTTCATCAAGTCAAAGCATATAATATGTTAGTACTGTTTTCAAAATCGAAAAACATACTTTTGGAAATATAATTTTCATAATACCATACAACAATAAATACCCTTATATAAAACCAGAATTATGACTATTATTGGTTCTAAAATCTAAAACTATGATTATTCTGGAAGAAAAATTAAACATGTTATAATTTAGACGGAAATGATAGTTGGCGAAAACGAAAATTTAGTTTTTGGCAGAAACGATAATTCATCAGAGGTAAATCACTAAAACCTATATGACAAATTTATGATTTGCACACTTCTTACTTCAATTTAAACTTACCTCAAGCCTTGACACGACTTACTCCATTTCGGCATTTCCTGTAGTTTTCAGTGTTTGCTCATAACATATACGAAATAAGCGTTTGATACTTTAAGTAACATTTTTGTTTATTTAATTCGTCTTATTTTATACATTTATACGTTCCCGAATAATGCATTATGCATGACAAAATAGATATCTGGGATCATCTGGTATGTATAATTATATTGTATCTAATTTACGTACGTTAAAATTACACTATAATTTAATAATGAATTATAATTTTTATATAATATACTGTGATAATAATAATAAATCAAGATTTGAGATGTTTCCAATAACTTTTTTGTTAGTTAAATTAATAATAAAACTGCTAATAACACGATTTAGGAGGTATATAACATGATATAATATTATGTGTACATATCGATTTGTTGACTGCAGTTCAATTATTTTAAAATTTGAATGATATCCATTTTCTGTTATTAGCCACCTAGTGCTTTGTACACATTGATGGTCGAGGAACCTGCACAATCGGATGACAGTTCAAGTTACAGTATGACGTTGAGCGAGTTTGAAGAAGACAGATGGTATAATCCGACATCGTTTTCTGATGACGCAGCTGAAATAGAAAGCATCCAGAGATTGATTAAATATATACGAGTAACAATGCCTAAAATACCTAATCCTATCATTAAATTATTATTTAAATATTATCGATGTACAATTATTGATTGAAGGTAGGAAATCAAACGGCTACAGCAATTGCATTGGCTGCGTTGGTGGACTACAATCTACGGGACGAGTCCACGCAAAGTATCGTGATTAATACCGGTGGTACAGAGCTTTTGATCAATTTATTAGAAACCGACCACAACGAATGCAGAGTAATGTTGTACGGATTAATAGGACGTTTAAAAACTGTATTTATAGTCCGTTTAAGCTTTAATTGTTGGCAATCTAATTAGAGCGTACCAAATATGTTAAAAATAAAAGTTTATTTAACAATAACATATAGGTAATATGAAGTATTTTTTCAATTAGGTATTTATTGACAAATTTAAATTAATTATTTTGAGAGGACGTTTTGATTCAAATGATTTATTAAATATACATAAAATGTTTTTTTTTTAATATCTACTTTTGAAGTATGAGCAATAGTAATTTATTATAATATAAAATATTTTGATACGCAGCACAATATCAATATACGCCTAATTATTAATTATTACAAGTGTATTCAATCAAAAAAATAAGGTGATTTCAATGTGTGTATGTGTGTTTTTAGCACGGTGCACTTGCAGTATTAAATGAAATGTCATATATGTTGGGTACTAGAAGAAATCTGACAAATTTGGGTGCCATTCCAATTTTAGTCAAGTTATTGTCTGACCGATCAGTAGACTTACAAATTCTCTCAGCCGAGACTTTAGCTAACGTAGCAAAAATAAAAAAAGGCCGAAAGTTCATACGCAAAGCTGGTGGTATTAAGTTAATGGTAAACGCGCAAATAAACGAACTCATTTATTTTTATTTTGTAGTATTTATTGTGCTTGACTGTACCTATTTAATGACTGCTGCAAATTTACATTTATTGTGTGACAGGTCGACTACATGGATGTACCGCATCAAGTCTTAAAAACCGAAAGTGAAATGTTACCATTAGTTCAACAAAAGTTATTTAGTCTGTTGTGCAATTGTTCAAAAGCATTGTGGTCGATGTCTAAATCGGATAAAAATAAAGATGTGATGCGACGATCTGGAATCATACCGGTAATGGCAAAGCTATTGACCTCGGTGCATGAGGATGTTGTCAGTTCTATTATGGGAATTATCGTTAATTGTGCAACACAGGTAGATAGGAATTTCACGACTATAATCAAACGGTGCGCGATATTGAATTAATTTTCATTAAGCTCAAATGAAATTGTGAATTTGCGCAGCCAGTGTTTCGTACTGCGATCAAAGAGCAAGGCATGTTGGTCGATATATTAAAACTGTTGAAGAGTTCCGACATCGAAATGATGAACAACGCTGCTACCGTAACGTTCAATGTGAGTGTTTATTGATTTTCTAAATCATAATAATTTAGGTGTGTCGAATCAGTAAACTTACGCCTTTTACAAAATCGTGACGATGTATAGTGTGCCGAGGACCCCGAGAGCCGGAAACTGATCAAAGAGCAAGGGGGACTAAACTCGTTGGTGAACATTGTCAAAGTGGAATCGCACAAGTGTGAAACGAAATTAATAGAAGCCGCTACGGGTGCGATATGGAAATGTTTAATGAACCCGGACAACGTGAAACGTCTGGAAGACATAAACGGTATACACGTTTTAGTAAGACTATTGGATTCCGACAGTGAGGACGTGAGTGGGAAATTTTAAAATATAATGTCATATTATAATATTATAGACTATAGTACATGTATGTCTACTGTTTGAAATCAATAAATCTGTCTTCGCATTCGCTGTTTATATACCTAGGTAATCGCCAACACCGTAGCGTCTTTGGCGGAATGCACGAAAATAGGACGCAACAAGATCGCTCTGAGGGCGGCCGATGGTTTGGTACCCATAATAAAGCTATTGCAAGACACCGGCCATGAGAGGATTCTCGTAAACGTGTGTCGTGTGATCGACAATTGTGCGTCTGATCCACTGTGCATGGAACAAGTGGTTAGCAATGATGGAATACGTTTAGTATGGTCCATGATGAAATTTGATTCCACTCTCGTTCAATCTACGGCGGGACATACGTTGGTAACGTTGCTTAAAAATACAAAAGTAAGTTCACGTTCTATAATATTATATACGTATTTATTTTTCCCAGTTACTGAGTACGCTGGTCAGTATATTTATATCTTAAGAATAATAATTAGCTCCCTCGTGACTCATTTAATAGGATTTCAATTTTGATATATTTTGAACAATAAATTTAAGTATAATTCCAACTATCTTTAAAGTATTAGAATTTAGACTAATTATTTAAAATGTACTTAATGACATGGCGACCTGCAACGATTATAGTATAATATAGTTAAAATGTTCAGAATATCTATATTCTATGTATATAAAAATGGTGTGAAAAATGAATAGTAATTCATCAATTGAGAACGGCTAGGCCGATTTTGATAAAATGTTTTGTGAGTGCTTGAGTGGTTCCCTGGATGGTTTGGATTCACAATTGGACCCGGTAGGTCCAACCCGGGGCTAATGACATAAAAGCCAAAGGTACAAAAATTACATACCATTTGGGCAAAAATTAATATTTTATATAAGTAGTTATTTAAAAATTTCAATCTTATAAAAAATTGTCAATAATAAATTGTTAAAATATAATACCATATGTATAGTTTTAAATTTAATATAGGTATGTTATTTAATATATATTAACTGTGGCACACAGTTATCTAGGATTTTGGTGCTTTAGTACGATACAACTTTTTTTTTCTTATCTCATTTTGTGCGCTTATGTCTTCCACCGCAACCAGGTTGGGGTTGCTATTTGTTATAGGAGAAATAATTAGTAGAAATTAGTTTTTATTATTTTATTGGTTGCCATTGGTTATCGGGCAGATCAGATACAAGTATGCATCAAATAGAATTTTCACACATTGCCTACAAAGGTGGCCGAGTTGCACTTATATAGCCGCTCATCGGCGTGTCCTACTTGATATGCTGTTGCCCATTGTCCGCGATCTGACATAGTCGGATTGCCTACCAGGGTGTCTGAGTTGCACTTACTGCAACGAGTTGCACCCAAAAGGAGTTGAACAATCACAATTTTTTTAAGAGTTGTCATTGTTTACGGGCAACGAAGTGCGCGGGACTAGCTTCTATATTATATAAGAATAGGCAATAGCAGTAATTAATATCCAACGCAATCCCGACATGTGTTAAATTAAAATGTTTTTTATTTATTATTTTTACCAATTAATAATTTGCAATTAATCTAAAAAAAATAATATTGCATATTTAAAATTTTAAGCTAGCTACTAGCTGTGTTTCTAAGTCTATTGATACACAACCGTGGTTATGGCTTAAAATCTTATGTATTCAACACACAGCTATTGAGACATTTACCTTTTTCGTTTTTCAGTTTTGTTTCATTTCAATATTTGTTATTATACTTATAAGTACTTAGTATACTGTATACATAGCCGTCCCAAGGGGGGGGCAAATGGGGCAAGTGCCCTAGGGCGTCTAAAGCATTATGAATTTAGGGGGCGTACTAGAAATGGATGATAAAAAGAAAAATTTGGTGTTCTTATTTTAGGTATTATTTTTTTGTTTATACTGTAATATCAAAGATGAGTATCTATAAAATTGTATACTATTAAGTAGGTATACAATTATGTAAATAATGTGTTAAATCTTATTGCGACATAACTTCAATAATAATATATTCAATATTTATAAAAACAAATAAAAATATTAATACTTATAAGTTATAAGATTATTAAGATTGCAATAGTAATTTATTTAGGCACATGAAATATATTTTAAATATGTATATACATCATTACAATAATTAAGTAATTGTAATATACTTATAAACTAAACTAATTCATATCTTTGGTACCTACCTAGTAGTACCTTTTTTTATTTTTGTGTCTGTCATCACGTTTTAGGACAGTAAAAGTGCTTGGATTTTCTTCAACAGTATCTTTTCTGATAGGAAAGTCCGAAAGTGAATCTAGTTGGTACTTTGGGGGGGTCAAAAGAAGTAGTTTTCACAAGCACCGGGAAAAACAACATAAAAATTAAGGAAAAACGGAAATTTTTACGCAAAATCGGTTTTCCAAAAAATCGATTTTGATTTTTGGTGTGACTCTAAAAGAAATGAACGTATATACAAGAAATTTTCCCTGGTTGTTTATATTTACATTTTGTATACACGATAACATTTTCAAAATATTTTGATTTATTTTGAACTGTTTAGGGACATTTTCATTTTCCATTTTTTTTTAGTTTTTTTTCTAAAAATATCAATAAAATTTTATTTGTTGGTTGCGAAAAGTTGAAAATTGAATAGAAGGCTTCTAGTATATTGTTTCAAAGGTAGATGAAAAATATTAAAAATCCTAAGTCACAATTTTTTTTTATAAGCATTTAAAGTTCAAAAATTGACAAAATATGGAAAAATCACGAAAATTAGCAAATTATTTTGAGTTAAGAATTCGTAAAAATTTTTCTTTTTTTTTGAAGATTTGAAAATGTAATACAAGATTCCTTATAAGATTATCTACCTTTATCAAAAAAAAAAATGTTTATTAGAAAGTCAAATTAAATTTTTATGAGCGTTCGAAATTCGTAATATTTAAGTATAAACGAACAATTTAAAAATGTTTTAACTTAATGGATTTTTTTAAATCAACTGAGAAAAGCTTAGTTATTTCAATTGTAAATTAAACTATTTAAGTTCATAAGTTGATTAGAAAATAAACTAACTAGTTAAGTTAAAAAGTTAAAAAAAATTAACTTTTTAACTGAACTTTAACTTTTCCACTAGTTATTAGTAGTTAATGCCCACCTTTGAATTTTATAACCACTTATATTCACTTGTGCAATTTACAATGTTGACTGTTATACTACATTGTTATTACACACGCAGAAACGCAGAATGTATGATTTATAATGAAATCTAAGTACTAATTTGTGAAAATAGTTATATATATTTTCTTTCTGTAATGTACGAGTGTTCCCAGAATAATGAAATTGGTGTTCAACTAGAAACAAAATAAATATGATTCCAATAATAATATTTAAAAAAATAAGTAGGAACCTTTAATTAATAAGTATTAAACATATTTAAGGTATGTGGTTAATTATAAGCTAAAAATGCGAAGTCGAGATTTTTTGGTGGGAGGGTGAGGGGCGTCAAATATTGTTGCCCTAGGGCGTTATTGGTGGTTAGAGCGGCGCTGACTGTATAGTGTATACTAAGTACCTACTAACTATAGTAAGTAATTGAAATATTTGTCAATATTGTACTACTTACTCAATACTAAGTCATTGTAGTTTCCTATTTTGTTGAACAATCAATTGTAGTCAAAACAAACACTAACCAATATAACGACGTTACGAAATGACGTGTTTACTGTTTACTTAAATTTTACAAAAAATGCATAGGTACATTTATTTAAAATAAAAGTAAAATCAAAATAACGAATTAAAGATATTCATCGACTATCGATATTAGTATTTAATAATTATTACCGAATCTGTCAAGATATTATAGACTATAGTTTAGATTCTAATAAACGTTTGAATTGGTGAAAATTGATAAAAATGTAATCCAAGATAGGTACATGTGGTTTTAATAACAGTTTATAAAAACATTAAAAATAGGTAACCATTGCGGCACTGCTATTAAGTATCTACGTATTTATTGCACTTCTTCATTGAGTAGGTACCGGTACCTATAACTAAATTACTAGTGTTCGTGTGGTATTATATTGTACTAATACTAAATTTGAATTCAATGATAAATCATTTGTAAATTATTGTATTTGATGAAAATCGATTTTGAGCGGTGACCGTCTATTATGTATCGTATGGCTCACATGTCTACAAAATAATTCACAATTTTGAGGAATTTTGTCAACATGTTTCAAACGCTTACAAAAAATAATAAAATACCATGTGTGTTACCAGTACGCGCGCGGGAAGTTAAACTTCTTTTGAATGGTACACGTGAGTGAGTGAAAAAGAAAGAAAAAAATATTAATTAATTTAAAAAATGAGAAGAAGTATCCGGGGAATTATTTATTATTGATAGTTTTATTATTTTTTTTATATTTTTATTCGACAGATCGATGGATAATTGTTTGTAGTATTGTTTTTATCCAGACAATAGATTTGTGAGTGAATAATAATAATAATAATAAAAATAAATAATAATCGATCATTAATTATTCATATTAATTAGTATGGCAAGATTATAATAAATAATATATATATATATATATATATATATATTATAATATATAAATATATAATAAAACAACATTACCATGACAATATTTATTTATTTACGGACATGTACGCTTTCGCGTTCGTACGGCCGCCCGTTCGTACGCGCCGCCAGTTCGCTTTTTTTTTCCTCACTACCCTGCGTAAAGAATTATAACTTCAAAAATTGTAACTACCTATGCATTTTTGATAAATTTTAATTACTGCGAGAAAATTGATGAAGAGTTACATTTTCAATTTTTTTACTCACACACGACTATATTGTAACACACGTCATAATGTCTAATAAAATATAAAACACATAGAAAATGTCAAATGTCTACAAATAGCTCAAAAATGCCAATATTTTTTGAAAATTGTGTCATATCTTGTATATATGAATATTTGAACATTTTTGATAATTTCAAGTAACTAAGGTTAGTCGTTTTTGAATTACAACAAAAAAACAAAATTGTCATTGTTTTCTAATATTTTTTCTAATTATTTCGGTTTTCTGTCCATAATAGAATTTTTTAAATATTTGTATTATAGCATTAAGTCATTATGATCATAACTAGGTGCCTATCTATATGATATTATACATATGTGATGTTTTATAAAAATTAGTTTCACATACCGTAGTAGAAAAAAATAAATTACTAATAATAATTGTGATAAAATAATTCATAAATTATCATTAGAAATAAATGCATGACATTTCGCTTAGGCTCATCAAACATCCAATGATTTATTATTGAATTCAATTATTAATATAATACACATTCATTACAGTGACCAGTTTCAATGATGAGACTGGTACACTAAAACCTTCCCTATCAAAAAATTATTTATCTTAAGTTTTGACTTTAAATGACTACATGCATATTTTATAATCTCGTAGTCGTAAGCTTTATACTTTTTAGAATAATTTGATACATACAAATTGAATATCGAACGAATTTTATATTATTAGGGCTAATAGTATTTCAAGTTATAACTAATTAACTTCTCACAAACTCGTTCGAAATTATAGATTTTTATGCATTGAAATTCTTAAAAAAATATTCTGCTCAGTTATATGAAATAATAAATGTTTGTGGTCATTCAAAAAAGTAAAAAACTTAAAATAAATATTTTTTTCTGAACTATACTTTAAATTTAATACAAACATAATATTGTCAAAGACGTTAATGAATTTTCATGAGTGATAAAATAATTAAGTGTTCATATGCTTACATGGTGGCCCGTTTTGTGAACCCCCCTCAAATTAATTTTATTCTGATTAAAATGTTTAAATACAATTCTGTATAAATCTTTTTACGCCGTATTAGTATATTAGAAGCTGCTATTAACATAAAAAAAAAGTATTTGTTTTGGTGGTAAATCTAAATTTCAAATTTTTTATTTCATATCTCATAAAAATTTAAAATATCTTCTTTACTTATTAAATCAAAGTTTTCGGGACATGGTCAACTTAATGTTATTACTTATTAGTGAGTTATTAGAATATGTTTTTTAGACGTTATAAAACAATAGATAACAATAATTATTTACAAAAATATACAATGATTGGAGGGGAACTTAAAAGTACCTATACCAATGACCAATCAAATATTATTTATAATTACGATATATTCGATATAAATAATAACAATAATAAAGCTAACTTATAGTTATTTTAGGTATCTATTAATTTCCTTATTATGGTTTCTAAATAATTAGAAATTCTTATGATAGTGTGAGTTTTAAAGTTTAGGCAGGACTGCAGGAGTATGTATAATAATAATAATAATAATAATAGGTATATGAGTAGATGGTCGATACGAGGACAAACATCCCTAACTCCCGAGACTTATTCACGGACCAGTATACTTATTAGAAGAGAGTTATAAATCCTATTCTAATGCAATATTTTCTAATGATGTTTAGAATTATTATTATTATTATTATTATTATTATATAGCTATTACTATTTATTAGGAGTCTAGTGACATTATGCGTTCTCTAGTTACCGGGTTGGTAATGTTGGTTGATTTATTAAAATCACACGACACGAGGGTATTAGCAGCCGCTTGCGCAGTCATCGGAATTTTGGCCAAAGAACCCGAAAACTTGGCAATTCTCACTGATTACGATATCGTACAGCGGTTATCTAGTTTGGTGCATACGGTAATACATATTATTATAATATAATCTATGTGTATAGAGCAATCGAAGTCGACTGTGGTATTAACCGTCGGCCCCTCAATTTTTCATTTTGCAGAGCAATTCGGACCTCCAAGCCCATTTGTCTCGTGCCATCGGTTCTTGCTGTTTATTAGAACGCAACTGTCACACGTTCGGTCGACTTGATGTAGTACTGCCCATTTCCAAATACATACATTCCAATTCTGATCTGGTCAAACAGAACGTTACGTTTGCTCTACACGGTCTGTCCGGAGACGCGACAAATTGTGTGGCCATGGAATCTTGTGGTGTCGTTCCCGTACGATGAGTGATGACAATAAAATATAAATAATTATATTATAATTGGCTTGTATCAAAGGCTTCAAATACTTGAGTACAAAATACGCTGTTCATTTAATTCGTCGTTATTGCAAAAATTTTCTTTTGTATTTATTTTGCTATAGCAAAATGTATATGTATATATCATCATAATAATATTTTATTCTTCACCACAAATAACAATAATAATCTTCTTATGTTTGAATATACTAATTAAAAAAAATACCACTCGTATTTTATAACAGAGTATAATATATTAATATATAGGATGATTCACTGAGCATATTCACCCCAATTTTTTCATTTAATAATGAATTAATTAAAATTCTGATTTTTGAAATTTTAAGTAAACCTAATGAACTTATTTTCAAATACATAGATTTTGTATAGGTACCGTTTACATTTTACAGCAGTTTTAAACTGCTATTTTTTATCTATACATGTATATAAATGCATTTATAAGTTAAAGATTTTTTTTGAAAATAATCTTTTTCAATTATTCATCTTTACGTAATATGTACAGTAAATTCATGATAATAGGTTTTGAATATCTGGGAGCTATGGTGATTTTAAAATTGTAGTAATTAATAGAAATCTATTAACACTTCAAATTTTTAAAATGGCCTGAGTATAATAAATTAATAACTAATAAGTGGATAAAGTAGATACTACTAGATTAGATGTTACAAATGTTTTATAGTTTTTTTAAACTATTTTTAAGGGCTATAATCCTTATATACCAGGTTGCATGCACAATCACTAAACATTAAATGAATCAATAGTAAGCTATATAATAGTTCCTTAAACATGATTTAGTGGCATACTGGCATATGATTGCAGATTAATCCATTCCATGTTATTGAACCATTAAATTAATTAATTTTTTATGGAATCCGGCATTATAGTATATTATATATTTTAACAACTAAAATTTAAAAACTAGGTAACTACTCATTTTAATTTGATTTAGATATATGTCAATATTTTCAAAAAAATCAAGTGCTTCATGCCTTCATAGTATTTAGTAAAAAGGTTTCAATGGTTTCCATTTGAAAAAAATTGTTTTATTCCACCACAAGATACTCCTGAAAATAATGTAAAAAAGAAATAAGAATACTTAAAATTTCCAAAAATTAAAATTTTAATAAACTCATTATTATAGGAGAAGTACCTATATGATTCACTCTGTATAATATAATTAACCAGAAATCCCCGGAAGTAAAATCCACTATATTGACTATTTCCCTGCACCCTATATTATGTGGCTTTGTGGATGTCCACATATTGCCCTCATTACTCGTAAGTTCATGTTTAATTATTTAAAGTGTTTATAGTACATAGGCTCTATTGTATATTTAATATTTGTATACCTAGGTATTAATGTATTATCCAGTACGTACATTTTTTCATTCAAACATAAACTTTTTTTAATAGCATAAATAGTTTTCTTGTGGACATTTTTTACTTAAGATAATTACTTTTTTTATACCTAGATGCTTTTGATAAATTACCTATGGCAATTTAAATTTATTCTTTATTCACATATAATAATTGTATCAATTAAAATTGATAAAACTTGATGGTTTTTAAAATAAAATATTTTTACCTAGCCAGTAACATTTTCCCAATTAGTTTTTTTTGGAAAATCATTACTGTTTATTTTAGATAGGCACAACTATTTTAATATAATATTATGGCATTTCTTATTTGTATGATTTTTCTAAACTCAAATTAAGTTAATTATAAGTTATAACTTTTGTTTTCATGTTTCTTAAAAATCTTAGAAATCCAATTTATAGAGAATATGTAAATATTTAAAAAAAATGAACTTATCTCCATTAATTATGTACTTTTTAAGTTAAAGCCGGATGTGTATAGAGACGTATATAAATAGCTTGCAGGCATGAATATAGTATATACAAGGACAAGATGGCGAGACACTCTATAACCTATATAGATATAATTCAAATTTTAAATACTAAAACGTTTTATGAATCTAACAATATAGATGTTATATAGCCTCTAATAATAATAAAAATTCACAGACGTTGAAAAATAAATGTTGTATCTACGTACATGAAGACGTATTGTCAGACGTCATTCGGCCAACCACACTGAGCAGTTTTGCACAGAATACCTATAGATACTACCTATTTTATAATATTTATCATTAATCATAAAATACCTAGTACCTATACTTTGCACAATGTGAAGACGATTTCTTGTCTACCTCTACAATGCGGTACTGTACTATAATCACTATATTTTATAATCAATGGTTATGTACCTACATGGCTACATATGTATATACAGCACTGCTAGCACATTAGTCCCCAGTTACTAGTATTATATGTGGAGACCTTGAATTAATTTTAGAAACCATATTATGGCTACGAGGGCTGTGGCTGTTGGCTATTCGTTTGAAAAATTTTATTTAATTTTTATTCCGTCTAGATAAAAAAAAAAAATATTAATTCATAGAATAATAATGAATAGTGTACCTAATTGCGTTGTAATTACAGTTTCTTATGGAGACTATTGCGTCACGAGATCCCGACGTACAGGAGGCTTCAGCTGGATGTTTGGCAAATATTCGTAAAATCGCTTTAAACTCTCGAAGATTAAAATGATGACCATTAATATAATGGATTGCAAATTACAAGACGATTGTATTATGACTACTAAAGGTGAAATCATTATGGTATAGAAAACATCATATTTTTATTAACAATATAGTTAACTTTATTTCTTTATGTATTCTGTTAAAGTTTTTTTTTTTCAAATATTTATTGCATCTTTTGCGATGGTTGACTTTATAAAGTATAGTGTTATTATTTATTATTGTATTTGTGTATATAGGATATATTATATACCTATATAACTATAATACAATATTATACATGTTGTTATTTAATAGAGTGTCTATATTAATAAAATACCTACCTTAAATCCAAAATAATAATAATATAAAATGAATTTGATAAGTGTGCGAAATTAAATGCGACAAAATAATCAAAAATTACATGTTATTATAAATATTTTTACGCACTATAAAGACAAAGTAAGAAAATCATGGAAAGTTAAAAATAGAAAATAATTACAAGTCACCAAGATCCTGGTCACGTGTATTGTTATGTGATGAAGCCATGATGGGCCATGCACGACAGTACGACACACAATATAAATTATGTAATAATATGTACCTATGCCACCTATGGTAAGCAAAATTATTTTAGACGTTTTCGGAGCTTTCTTAAATAAATACCTTCGTTATAATATAAATTAATTATAAGAAACTCTGGTAATGAAGTCTAGAAGTCTACAGTAGCCAAAGAAAGCGAAAATATTGCTTTTCTGATTGTGAACACGTAAATAACTAATAAGTAATAACTATATTACTAGGTACCCACAAGGTTTATACTTTATGACGTAGTAATATAGTACGAATTATACTTGAGTTAACCTTGGTGCAGATTCCTATTTGATGAATCAAAAGTAATCGACCTATTGTCCGACTTTTCAATATTTTGATAATATATGAGTGAGAAGTTATTAAAACGTAAGTTAGATCCCTTTAAAAGTTGCACTATTTTTTTTTACTTTATTAAAATATAAAAATAATTAAGTTTACCTAATTAAAAATAACAATTTTACAAATGAATAAATATCAACTACAAGAATACCTGAATATTTAGATGTTGTTTTTCAAGCTTTGAGAAGTGGACAATATTATCTTAGGGCATCATAAATCATAATGACGCATAAATATATTTAACATAATATTATGTCATATCTGACTTGAATACCTGTGAATTGTGATATAAAATAAAGCAAAAAAATAACACAATAGTACAATACCACATTAAATACCTAAAAAATATAAATAGTACCATATTAAGTTAAGAGTTATTAGAAAAAAAAATATGTAACTTGATTTAAATATTTGACTTCAAATGTACATAACATATATACATATATAGGTAACTATAGGTATATTTTAAAATAAGTTATGTGTACCTATCAATAAAATCATAAAAAGTCAGTATGTCTAAACAGAATATCGTATAATAAAATGTGATGCTGATGTTAATTTTTGTTTCCAAAGTTTCTTTTATCATGTTATGTTTATAACATATTTGTATTTGTATAAGTATTTTACTTTAAACGAATCGTTGAACTCCGTATACCAGATACAAACTTATAGCTCAGTTATCTCAGTAGCTCAGCTATTATTATTGTATTTTATTGTAATTATTTAATTGTAATTGTTTTGGCTGAATAAATAAATAAATAAATAAAATAAAAATAAATAAATATTTAGAATTTAGATTCTTTTAAAATAGGTACTCACATCAACATGAATTGTATATCTATTTGAGAATGATGGATTCTAGGATGTTTTTTCGTTGGGCTGTGTTACTGTTTCTGATGATTTTACAATTCTTCCGAATGTCTTACGTAACGAAAGTACAAAAAAAACAGCAATTGTCGCAAAAAACGCATCCAACCACTGCATTTTAATGACTTTCAGAAAATACTGCTAACTTTACGCCGCCTCCACACCTCCACTACAGTTCTTAGGATTTATTTCTTCAATCTCACCTTTTGCTATTAAATCGGTTCGTCTATTTATGAAATTTCTAGTGGAATATAATTAAATTTATTTTAAATCATGATAATTATGACATAATTACCTACGCATTTGTACAAAACTACTTAAGTCCGATGAAAGCACTCATAGAATTTATATTTTACATGATTATAAATAATTGTTTCAGTGGGAACCTTCAATAGAAACTGTACGTAAAAGAAATGAGTTCGAAATTATTTATAAAAGACCTTGCTAGTATTATCGTAACTTATACATACCTACACCATAAAAACTGTAAAATGAAACGAAATATCAAATAACTAATAACATTATGTCAATTAAAAATTGAAGCATTATTATTCAATATGCATTATTACGAATTGTGTTTTTTGCTAATA